AGTTAGCCATTAATTCTGGTCATTCTTACGTCTGATGAAGGTCAACTGGGACGTGCTGTCACACAGAGCAAAGGTAGGACAGGTGGGCATTACTAAACAGCTACCCACAGCTACTGTTTGACTTTGAAATGCAGGCTTTGTTCAACCACAGACCCTCTACACATGCCCTACAACCAAAGCAGACTATGTGTTTTGGTTTACTTAGCTATTCTTTGGTTACAATATTGTCCCTAGAAGTTGACTAAATATTACAAACTTCTTTTGGTGGCGATCAATAGACTTACAAAAAAATAAATGAAGTAAATGTGGTTTTTATATACTGTGTATTTTATCCTAAAAATTGTATGTTTTTACTCTAAAAGTTCTTGTAATTGGTATTTTGAGCTATTGTTGCAGATAATAACTGTAATAAATTAAATGTTGTAAATTAGGAATGTACTTATATTAAAATTCTGGAAAATGTTTATAAAAATATAAAAACACATTAAAAGAAAAATTCTAAAAATTTGTTTAAATGTGTATATATAATGCCCTCATTTAAATAACTATAATACCATTCAAATGTTGGGATCAGTATGATTTTTTTTTTAATTAATACTTTTATTCAGCAAGTATGCATTAAAGTTATTATATAAAAGCTCTACACATGCCCTACAACCAAAGCAGACTATGTGTTTTGGTTTACTTAGCTATTCTTTGGTTACAATATTGTCCCTAGAAGTTGACTAAATATTACAAACTTCTTTTGGTGGCGATCAATAGACTTACAAAAAAATAAATGAAGTAAATGTGGTTTTTATATACTGTGTATTTTATCCTAAAAATTGTATGTTTTTACTCTAAAAGTTCTTGTAATTGGTATTTTGAGCTATTGTTGCAGATAATAACTGTAATAAATTAAATGTTGTAAATTAGGAATGTACTTATATTAAAATTCTGGAAAATGTTTATAAAAATATAAAAACACATTAAAAGAAAAATTCTAAAAATTTGTTTAAATGTGTATATGTAATGCCCTCATTTAAATAACTATAATACCATTCAAATGTTGGGATCAATACTTTTATTCAGCAAGTATGCATTAAAGTTATTATATAAAAGCATATAAAAGTAAAGAAAAAAAAAATCTGCAAAAAAGTATCACAATATAAAAAAAGTATCAAAATAATTCAGCAGCACACCTGATTTCAACATTGATAACAACAAAATTAAATGCTTCTTGAGTACCAAATCAGTATAATAAAATTATTTCTTAAGAATCATGTGACACAGAAACCTAAAGTAATGGATGCTGAAAATTCAGCTTTGCCATCACAGGAATAAATTACATTTTTAAATATATTAAAATAGAAAACTGATATTTCAAATTGTAAAAATATTTCACAATATTACTGTTTTTACTGTATTTTTGATAAAAAAATGCAGCTTTTGTAAGCATAGGACACATTAAAAGAAATCGAACTGATCCCAAATTTTTGAAAGGGGTATAGGTAAGTGTGTGTGTGCGGGTGTGTGTGTGTGTGTGTTTGTGTGACCTGCTGTCAGTTTGATAGTTGTTGCTCTGCAGGAAACTCAGTGGAATGTGTGAGCTCACATATTGCATCATGGCTAAAGGTTTGGACTGTTCACGTGCAGACTAATGTTTTTCAGCTGTCTTTCTCATTACTCATCAAACTAAAGTGTGACTTTCACTCTCAATGGGTTGTAGCTTTATCACGAAATCAAGTGCCTTGTTCTTTTGTTCACGAGTGTATTTGAATGTGTGTGACTTCAATGGAAGGTGCAGTGTTTCAAACATTTTGTTTGTTTGAATTAGCAGCAGGTATTATCTCTCTGTCTGTCCATCTGTCTTGCTCTCTCTCACCTTATTTTACCTGTATCCCCACTGCGACGAGTGAGCGATGAAGTCGACTGCATATGCAGCACTGCTGATGAATTATTGAACAGTGGAAAGTGGACGTGATGGAGTCTTGCACGCAGTGCATACAGAGGAGCCACTGTGTGAAAGGATGACTGATGTCAAGAAAAAAGAGCGAGGGTTTACAAGCTTATTTATGTCAACGCACAAATGGCAACATGCATGCTTCATTTGCTCACTTTCAGAAACGTTTGCAAATGTACTTTGCCTGCACTTTAAAAGTAGCAGTATACTGCAAATAATCCTATTCTGGTTACAGCTTTTTTGGATCAGCACACAGGCAAATGTCTGTATTACCTGACAGTTATCACATGTCTCTGTGACAGCCAAAGAATCTGACCACAGCCTGCATGAGCCAATCAGCAATCTTGGCATGAATTTGGGCTGGGAATTTCTGTTGGTATTTATTTAGTTATGCAGAGAGTATTTAGGAAAACTTTTGGGAAAAATTATTATTATTAGAATTCTAATTTTTTTTATTACAATTCTTTAAAATTCTGATTTTTTTTTTACAGCAACTTAAAAATGAGATCCATTTACCTGAGAGGCAAAATTACAGAGAATGTACCTTACAGAGACCTTCAGAAAATGTATCCTGAATATTTAAATTATCTGGTTTATTAGGCAGCTTTTTCTGCTTGTTTTAAGGGTCAGTATGTTTTTTTTTTTTTTTAAGAAATTAATACTTTTCTTCAGCAAGGATGCATTGAATTGATTTTGAACTGTCTATTTATCAAAGTGTCCTGAAATATCCTGAAAAAATGTATCACAGTTATCACAAGTATTAGGTTGAACAACTTTTCAAAATTGATAAGAAATGCTGATTTGAGCACCAAATCAGCATGTTAAATTGATTTTGGAAGGATCACGTGACACTGAAGACTTGAGTAATGCTGCTGAAAATTCAGCTTTGCCATTACAGAAATAAATAACTATGTATAAAAACTGTAATAATATTTCACAATATTACTGTATTTTTGATCAAATAAATGCAGTCTTGGTGAGTACAAAAAGCTTTTAAAAACTTTCAAAAGCATTAAAGAATCTTATGACCCCAGACTTTTGAGTGGTAATGTGTATGCATCATCAGACAAAAGTTTGGACACACTTACTCATTCTTTACTATTACTATTTTCTGCTTTTTAGAATAACAGTAAAGCCATTAGTAATTTGAAATATGAATTCCATATGAATTCTGAAATATAATTATAATAATGAGGTCGACCGATAGTGGATTTTACCGATACTGATAGCTAGGTTGCACCACACTGGCCGAATTAATCAACCGATAGTTTTTAAAATGGCTACTGAACGAAAACTAAAATAGTGCTTTACTATAAAAAAAAGTACTGAACCATATTTTGTAAATGTATATAAATATTAATATTAAATATTAATTAATTAATATATTAATTATATATTGATCATTAAAGTAAGTTCATAGCTTATTAACTAATGTTAACAGAAGCAACTTCAGAATTTAAAAATGTATTAGTAGATGTTGAAATTAACACACTCTAAATAAATGGCGTCTTTAAATATCTACACAAAGGCCATAGCATTGAAATTACATACATATGGATATTGTATGTAAACTCTCACACTTTAATTGCTTCTATTCTAGAGCACTTGATGACTATCTAATCAAAATAACAAAATATGGCAGTCGGCAAAAAGCGCATCTAGTGCCGCTTCTAGTGTCCCGCTCTGAAAACTATCAGCATGCATTTTTTGCCGATAGTTCCAGCAATCAACTATTGGTGCCGATTAATCAGCAAAACCGATACATCGGTCGACCTCTAATTATAATTATGCTAAATTTTTTGTTTTGTACAAAAAAAGTCATATTTGTCAACAAAAATTTCAAATATTTTTTTTAAACAGAGCTTCTGAGCTTTTAAAGATCATATTAAGAAATATTTAACTGGTAAGACAGTGTATACAGGATAAATTAGTTGAAAAATTCTTAATTCGATTTTTGCAGTATAGGCTTGTATTCTCTTTCAGAAGTTAAAACCATCCTCAGTGAATGGTTGATGCGGAAAAGAGAACAAAGCTAAACTCTACTCTCATTTTTGGAGTGCTTCTCGTTTCGCTACTAAAAACAGATTACTAGTCCAGCGGTTACAGGAACATCAATAGTCAAACTCATAATAGGAAGCTACTGATGGGCATAGTGTGTTTGTGTGTGAGCATGATCATGTGTTCAGTTGTTACAGAGACAAGTCTGAACATAACATTCCGCTGTCTTAACTTAAACAGCCTCCTGGGAGGAGAGGCACACAAAACATGGGAAAAATGCCTCCTTAGAACTCCCCCTTCTCCTACAAACTGATACCGTATCTAGATTAGCATAGAAACATAGCCTGTGGAAACAGAAAAGTTTGCGGTTAATTAACCGTAATTATCAACCCCAAACGGAGGGCTGCTCAGATAATGTTGACGTGAAGTCAGTGTTTTGACCGTACACACAAGGGCGGACGTCTTTTTTTTTTATCTTTCAAAAGAGATAGAACAGTTTGTCTGTTGGGTTGTGTTTTGAGTCTAAGCTCTCATTTAGCGTAGCTTTCGAAACAAATGCTCTTTATGCATGTAGATCCCTCAAAGCTGAAGTCAGTGATGCTTTTTATGATGTTTGTGTACAAAGGTTCCTCAAAAGGGAAACTGCTTTCAGACGGGCTTCCAGAGCACAATAACATCACGTCTAATGATCTAAAATGAATTCAAGTGAGCTTTAGATATAAACAAGCAAATATTTAGAGACTACAATGCTAATTTCTTGGTAAAATTAAGTCATTTCTAAGAGAAATTCTTTTAACTGCTTCATCAGATGCCATTTTTATTCATTTCCACCATCTGTCAAACCACGTTCACAGGATTCTGGGATATTGTAAGCTGTCAACGAGACATCTATTCTATCAAAATCCAAGAAGATTAAAGCATTTTAGTACACAGGATGTCACAGATATTGGATGTGAACATGTCTTGATGCCTTCCCACCTCCTAATACAGCATTTTTTTTTTTTATCTGATGTAATTTTGACCTTTCTTATGTTTATATTCTCTCTCTTTTTGTGTTTAGTCATACTTCGTCACTGACTATGACCCTACGATTGAAGACTCCTACACAAAGCAGTGTGTGATTGACGAGAGGCCTGCGCGGCTAGACAGTAAGTATGCCGCTGATGGATGAAGGAGTCTGATTGTCAAACAAATCACACAGGATGTAGGGAAACAACATACTGCTTTCCAGCAGCAAAGATGAAGCACTTTATGATTTGATAATACTTCACAGAGATCAGATAAATTACAGAGGAACTGGTGCATTTTGTTTTTGTTCTGTGCATTATGCATACTTGTACAGGTGGGGTTATAATAAATGTACTGTAATATCACTTTAGACAAAAACATCTACAAAATAACTACTTACTCCATTATACATATAATACATGGCTGGTGAAAAAAGAGGCTTGAAATACTTTAAATTTAAACATTTTTTTCTAGGCAGAAAATTGCATGACTTAAAGGGGTCATATGATGCGATTTTAATTTTTCCTTTCTCTTTGGAGTGTTACATACATCAACTTTCACCGTGGATGAAGCGGAATCCAGCCCGGGGTCCGTCACATGTGGTTACTGCTCATTCGTCGGATCCGCCGGGCGCGCCGATCTCGACCCGGTCGCCTCAGCTCACTCTAGCCGGAAAATAATGTGTTTTTTTAACTTTAAACCACATAAACACATTTCATTACACCAAATACACCAAATAATGTTCTTTTTAGCAGCATCATATGACCCCTTTAAAGGCATAGTTTACCAAAAATTTTGTCATTATTTACTCGCCCTCATATTTTCTAAATCTGTATGACTGACTTTCTTCTGTGGAAAACAATAGAACATATTTTGAAAAATGTCTGGTTTGGTTTGGACCCCAACATTCTTTGAAATATCTTTTGTGTTCCACAGAAGAGAGATAGTCAGGGTGAGTAAATAATGACAGAAGTGTCATTTTTGGGTCACTTTAAAGCAGTGGTTCACAACCAGGAGGACAGGACCAGCTAGGGGCCCTCAGCAAACTTCTAAGGGGGAATAATAAAAATTAAAATAATCTTAACTGTAATCTAAATTAAAATGCTAAAAATGAAAGAAAGTATAGTTCTTGAAGAACATACAGTCATTTGAATATTGTGTTAGACCGCAGAGGGCCTTCGAATCAAAAAGATACAGTCACACAACAGCAGAATGTGATCTTCTATATTGTGATGTACATCTGAGTGTAAAAGATTATGATAAAAAATGTAGGGCAGGGACTTGGTTCTATCCGTCAGTTATTTATGGGACTTTTAGATGTGTGCATTGCACTCAAATACAGAGACGGGTGAATGCGAGCATGCAGAAGTGGAGTTTAGGCAAAACAAATGATTGGAGAAGTCCAGCATATGTCACAAGAAAGAAGTCGGTCATTTTACTGGAAAATCGAGTTATTACATCCTGATTAAAAATTACGAGGTCAAACAAAACGTCAAAAAACGAAACATGCATTGTTCAAAATAAAGCCCGGTTCAGACTACATGATTGTAGCCCGATTTTGGCACGATCTGCTTTATGTAGGGTGTTGTGGGGATTTGTAAACAACAATGGGTGTCGGACTCAATCATTTCATCTCGTGTAGTGTGTCATAGTGGACGACAACTGATGCCACGTCTGCGAGATTAAAAATTACGAGGTCAAACAAAACGTCAAAAAACGAAACATGCATTGTTCAAAATAAAGCCCGGTTCAGACTACATGATTGTAGCCCGATTTTGGCACGATCTGCTTTATGTAGGGTGTTGTGGGGATTTGTAAACGACAATGGGTGTCGGACTCAATCATTTCATCTCGTGTAGTGTGTCATAGTGGACAACAACTGATGCCACGTCTGCGATGCTTCATGATGTCACCACAGAAAGACTAGCATGTTTAATTTTTGCAAATCTGTGACACTGGCCAATAGGAGCACAGAAGCGCCTTCGTACATGCTTTCAAACAAGCCGAAACGAAACCGAAACAATAGGTATGATGGGCCCTGCTAGGCGGAATTTTACAATGGAGGAGATGTTTCATGGATCTATGGCAATAATACTCCTGCTGCATTTATGTTTCCTCGAGGGACTAGAGTGAAAAATGGTTAAATAAACACTATTTTACCTCAGTTCTCTTTGACAGTCCATACTGTCTTCTTCATGCAATCCAGATTTGTGTCCACTGTCAGGTTTTCTTTCTTTTTTGGGCTTTTCTGATGACAAGACAGGGCAAAACACACTGTTTGCTAGCCATTATTTGTTTACGCTCATGCCACCTTCTGTCTAGTCCCGCTGTATCGATGACAGCACACACGTCATTAAAGAATGAATGGTCGGGTAGCAACGTGTAGTCTGATATGTTTCTTGTTCACGACAAAACAAGATTTTAGGAGTCAAAATCGCATAATCTGACACAGTGACTGTCGTAACCGATAAAAAAATCTTGTAGTCTGAACCGGGCTTTAGATGCATTTAAATAACAGATAAGGTGAATTTTCATTTCGTGCCGACTTTAATGGGATCTGATCACTGAAAACACAAATGAGGCCTGTGATTACAGGCGTTACTCAAGGCTGTTGTGAGTTAAAGAAGGGGGCCGACTTCATACAGACATTATTTTTTGTAATGTGAGTCACAGCTGTTAGTAAATACACTTATCAATCCTAACCGTTGCCATAGATACACAACACAGAACTCCTGTTAGGCCTATAAATAAAGAAATTTGAATATAATAGAAAATCATTTAATTTAGATAAAGTTGTTGTCAAACCCGTAGTGCTGATGTGTCTAAAGTGAGTGTGCAGTCAGTGGGTGACTAATGGCTGTTCTGTGTTTGTTAGTCCTGGATACAGCAGGACAGGAAGAGTTTGGAGCCATGAGAGAACAATACATGAGGACAGGGGAGGGCTTCCTTCTCGTCTTCTCTGTCACTGACCGGGGAAGGTGAGCAACGTCCCACTCACGTTTTCTCTCAACTTTCTCTCTTTCTTCCCCTTTCCCCTACATTGTCTGTCTCAGTTTCACTTTCATTCTGTTTTTGTCTCTCCAGTTTTATTAATGTCCCTCCTCCCTGCACTCATTTACATTTTCTGTAACTGTCAAATTAGAAGCGTGCTAATTTACGCCCCAGGTTTTGTCTCAGTGAAACCCAGCACATGCAAATAAACAGATCTCACACACATTGCAGTGTAGATTCTCGAGGAATGAGGTGTGTGATCGGCCGGTTTGTGCCCTCTTAGGGTCCTTCCCACTTTGTGTTTATGCTGTAAACAGTCTTTCCTTCCTTCGTTTACATTACCCTGCTTGGAGCCGATGGCACAGGCCTCTCTGAACACACTCTCTCTCACAATCTCTCCAGAGTCCATGACAAGCATTTCCTTCTCCTGCATGACATTTAAACGACTCGAACTGTTAGAATCAACAGAGACCTCATATCAGTGTCCTTCCCTCCCCAGCCTACACACGCTGTTCTCCATATGCCGGCTTCTAGCTGTCTTACAGCGTTACTGGAAAGTTTATAGCAGCGGCATGAGAACCGTGTGACCTCATGTCATCCTGTGTACTGTAATGCAGTTCTGTGGCCCAAAACAGAGAGATAGCTGCTCATCAGCTGGAAGGGTGGGCTTGCATTCCTTTTAGGTTTTGTGGAGAGGAGGAGCTCTGCTTTGTGGGTGTATGTGTGTACTTTCATTTCATAATTTCTGAAAATGCCCTCACTAGGGATGCATGATATATTGGGACCATATGGGTTATCGGCCAATTATAAAGAGTTTTTTTTTATTTCCCCTCAAGTTGACACACCAGGTGTCTTAGCAGAAAAAACACAGGTGTAGTTCATTTAGAGTATTTTCCACAAAGTTTGACAGTGAGAATGTGCGTCTTTTTGTCTTAACTTTGGAAAGTGTATTTCATTTTATTTCGTTTCATATTTTGAATCTTAATAAACGTAGTTTTGACTCAAATTTCAGTTTCAAAAAATTAACTAATTTTCAATATTTTGTTATATAATGTAAAGACATTTTTAAAACCACTACATACTATATAAGTTTGGGGTAAGATGTCTTTTTTTAAAGAAATTAATACTTCTATTCAGTAAGAATGCATTATATTTATCAAAAATGATAGTAGAGATTTTTACATTGTTACAAAAATATGTATTTATTTTATGTAAATTCTGTTCTTTTAAACCTTTTATTCATCAACGGCTCCTGAAGAAAATGCGTAATGGTTTCCACAAAAATATATTTATTAGCACAACTGTTTTCAACATTGGTAATAATAATGAATGTTTTTTTTTAGAGCAGCAAATCAGTATATTATAATCACTGTTTTACTGTATTTTTGCTCAAAAAAGCAGTCTTCTGACTGCCTTTTCTTACTGACCTCAAATGATTGATTTGATTAATTAATTAAATGATGGATGTATTTTTTTATTACGTTTAAATATTTATTTTAATTTTATATTTATAAATAGTTTTTATTTATTAATTTGTAGGGTTTACCCCAAAATGAAAATTTTATCATCATTTATTATTTTATGACGTTTAGAGCTACATGTGCGGGAATAAATGATGACGTTTTCATGTTTGTATTTGTGTCTGAGAAAATGCTTTGCTAGTTTGTTTGGACCTTTTTAATGGCCATGCATCATCTTGTTTTCCTCAGCTTTGAAGAGATCTACAAGTTCCAACGACAGATCTTGAGAGTGAAGGACCGGGATGAATTTCCCATGATTCTAGTGGGTAACAAAGCTGATCTTGAGCAACAGAGACAAGTGAGTGGCATGAATCACTTCAAGTACTGTAATTTCAGAGAGCTACACTGAATCAGTATTGATATGAACATTTTAACACTCTTGGTCTTCACTGCAACCATAGCATGACTTGGCAGTCTACTGTATCCATTGCAAAGATTCCGCCTATAGTTTCTGTTGTAAAATGACACATGTACATACAGTACACATATATACAGTACTCAAGAGCACAATGTCACTGTAATTAAATGTGAATGAAATTCAGTCCTGAAAATCAATGAGCTGAAAGGCTGAAACATATCACAGAGAGTGTGTGTGTCTGTGAGGAAAGAGATGGTAATAAAAGTTATGGGGTTACTGAGTGCATAGAAATACACTCTGATTGTGTTACATTGCCACCTAGAGTCAGAACAGAAAAATTAAATTAACTTCATCACTTATCTTTACTTTTATGAAAGGTAACTTATATGACATATTGTTTTATTTAATATCAAACAAAAAGTAAAAAATTGTGATAGGACAGTTTTAATGGATTTTAATTAAGGAGGGTTTTCTTTTTCAGGTGACCCAGGAGGAGGGCCAGCAGCTCGCCCGACAACTCAAAGTCACATACATGGAGGCCTCAGCTAAGATCCGTATGAATGTAGACCAGGCTTTCCACGAGCTGGTCCGAGTCATAAGGTGTGTGTGTGTGTGTGTGTGTGTGTGTGTGTGTGTGTGTGTGTGTGTGAGTGTGTCA